TGAGGTTGAGTCGTATGTTGAAATGCACAAGGACGTTCTCCGAGGTTTAAATCTGAATAGAAATGAAAATTGGATAGTACGCGAGCACAATCGAAGTTTTATAACATGGTTCAAGGAGCATAATTTTTCAAAGTTTTATTCTGATCCTGCTTCAATAACAGAAAGGTTGAGATGTTTAGCATATGGTCCAAGGAACAAGATGATAAAAGTACAATGCAAAATAGTGGTGTCACCGTGCTTGCCGAAGCAATGCACATTTCCTCGTATTATGGGGTTATCGAGCGCATTTGGGTGCTTGATTATGAGAAGTTTCAGATTCCTATCTTTGGATGCAAGTGGGTTGAAAATAATAGTGGCATACGAATGGATAAATCAGGTTTTTTGAAAGTGGATCTTAATAAGGTGGGGTACAAAGATGAACCTTTTATTCTAGCCACACAAGCTAAACAAGTGTTCTATGTCACTGATCCGACAAGTACGAAATGGTCTATAGTTCTTTTTTCCAACAAAGTAATCAATGATAACATTGGAGAAAAGGGGGATGTTGATGTTGAGAATGAATCTTATATTATAGATGATCCATATGAGAATATTAGAGCGGACGAATCATATATTAGAAATGATCATAACGAGGGAATTTGGATCAATCCATCTGTCCGTGTTGTTAAGAGACAAGTAAACCCCATTAAAACGAAAAAATGAAAGAGATGTTAAAGGTACTTGTAACATATTATTTCTTATTTATATCATGCAATAAAATAACATATTATTTCTTATTTATACCATGTTTTTCTTATTTATAAATTTCTTATGTATATATTTCTTATTTACATATTTGCATGTCATTCATTTGATACTTTGGTTTTTCTGAATTACAAGTATATATACTATGGCCAGCAACGAGGAAACATCACATGATGGAAAACAAACAACAAAAGACGTGGAAGGCGATATTAAAAGAGACATAACGATTATGAAAAAAATCATCCGTGCGAGAGATAAAGGAGTAAAGTATGATGTCCATTGGAATGAAAGAGATCAGTTAGTTGAGCCTAACGGTGCGTTGCTAACAAGTTACATCGGAGCACTTGTATGTTCGCAAGTTCCGATTACTTGCGATAATTGGAGAGTTCTTTCATTACAACCAGCTAAAGATAAAATTTGGAGCGAGATTCAGGTATGATATTTGATTATTTTTAATTATGTTGACAGTTACGTCTTTAAATTAATTATACTAACATGTTATATGTATGTGTGTTTGTTTGCAGAGATCTTTTAATATTGAAGATCGTAGGAGAAAATATTGTATTCAATTGGTCGGAAAACGCTTGAGGGGATTTAGAGCGTTTTTAACAAACAAGTTTCTTAAAGATTCTGATGGAAACTTTGTTGACTCGGAGCGTCCAATGAAGTACGCGAATTTGATTTCGGATGAAGAATGGTAGACATTTGTTGCAAAGCGAAGAACAAAAGAATTTGAAGTAAGTACAACTTATCATGAACTATGTATAGTATATATACTTTTTCCACAAGAGTTCTGATAAACTTGTTTTTTCAGGTTGTTAGTGGCGTAAATCATCAACGGGCATCAAATCCCGCATATCCATACAGAAAGGGGCGTTTGGGATATGCACGCTTAGAACAAAAAATAGTAAGTACATATAAATGCTTTAATATGATATATTTACAAAAAATAGTAAGTATATATAATAGGATATAATGTTTTATTATCCGTCTTAATGCGTAGTTGGAAGAGGAGAAAAGTGATGCGACATCTCTTCCAGACCATGTTGTATGGAAGGCTGTCCGTGTGGGAAGAGATGGAGTCGTTCAGGAAGAAGTTCAACAAGTCTTTGAACAATGTGTAAGTACAACGTTATCTTTGTCAGTAACTGATCAAAAGTGTATAATATATTTATATATGCTTTTATCTATATTTCAGGAGACTCTATCCCAGACCATAACTCCCGCTGAGGACGATGATTGCAGGAGCTTACTGAGTCGGGTGTTGAATATTCCTGAGTATTCTGGGCGTGTGAGGGGTAAGGGATTTGGTGTCACTCCATCCAAACTGTATAAGCAGACAAAGAAAAAAAATTCAACCAATAAAGAAGTGATGGATACTTTGGAGGAATTGAAAGCACAGATTCGTGAATTACAGAAGGACAAGGAGAGATACATGTCGGAAAGGCGCGCTCCAGAGGGTAAAGCTACTAGTGACAAAGATAGTATCGGTTGTCCGCAGAAGCTTCCAGAGGTAATTGTATATATTACATTGAAATTAATTTAGCACAGTTTACTTAATTGACACATTAACTGATCATTATTTGTTTAGGGCATTTCACTTTGCCGGCTATATTTATCGCCACCGACTCATCGAATGGTTGGCAAGGGAAAGGTGCATAACACTCTGGGAGACTTACTTCACCACAAACCTCTCCCTTCTGGATTTTTGAAAGTATCTATTGATATTCCGTTAGAGGGGGGTGTGTTGTTGCCTATACCAGATACTGTTTCAGGCGCAACAGTGGTGGGAGACGCAATAGGAGCGTATGTGGCATGGCCGACAAATCTCATTTGCATAGATGATGAGGTAGGTTGAACCTTTTAATATTCAAATGTTTTATGATCCATACATGAAAGTTATTCTTACATTTACATTTTCTTATTTACATGATGATCTTAGACTCCTACAAAATCCAAATCAAAAGATGATAGAATTATTGTGCGGGATACCGATTCAGCTGCATCAAAGAAACAAGTACTACTACAGTTACATGATTATCTTATTATACATTAATTACTGAACTTATATATGACTTTTAGGTTCGTGATCAGCAGTCGCAACAAGTCAGCAAGGGTAAGATGCCTGAAACTTTCAAGGTGCCCAAAAAAGCATTTGTTCCTCGATTTAGGATGTGTCTTGAAACATATGTGGGAACATCAGATGTGCCTGAGGGTGGCATCCGTCAAATACATATGGACAGAGGTATTTTCGGTTTTGAATATCCCGAAACAATTGCTAAGGAGGATTTTGACCAGGTTTTCAACCATTCTGAATTGGGCGTCGGTGTTATGCATTCCTACATCAGGTACTTCAATCCATTTTAATTAAATAATTGAACATTTTAAAATTTGCTCGTTTAACTAAATATTCTAATGTTGATTATGTTTTTTTAGGCTCTTGTATGACAAGTTGTTGGTCTTGAATGATTTGACTTCAGTATTCGCATTCTTATCTGCTAGCTGTGTCAACTCACGGACAATAGACCAGACACCAGATGCAGTCAATGAGTACACAGTGCAGAGATTTATGGGCGCGACTACGGAGAAGTTGTTCTTGTTGCCATATAATACTGGCCATGGGTTAGATTTTATTCTATATTCCTTTATTATAATTGTTCGATTTTTGCCTTTCTATATAACATTTCCGTCTAAACTGTTGTCTTATTTTATAGTGGACATTGGTTGTTGGTCGCGATTAATCCGAGGAAAGAAATAGTGTATTATATAGATTCATTGTATGGCGATGCAACAAAATATGAAAATCTGAGGAACATGGTTGACACGTAAGTGATGAGATATACTGTTCTGAATAATTATATATCTTTATTTATTAGGTGACATTGTTCTAAATATGCGTGTTTATATTATGTTAGAGTTATACAAATATTCAGAGCACAAAGAGATGCAACGGTGCCAAAAAGTAAGGCTAACAACATCAACTGGATCAGAGTGGAGGTATATTTTCCCATGTTTGACTGTTATAGTGGTTCTACTTGATAAAACTATTTAAACTATATATCCTGATAAATTTTCGTTTGTTTTTTCCATTTACAGTGTCCTCGTCAGCGCAATGGGATTGACTGCGGATATTTTGTATTGCGCTTTATGAAGGAAATTATTCTTTCTGGTCAAATAGAGGTTCCAATCATGGTATGGATCAATTCATAAGTTATATGATTCATTTTGATAATTATCCGATACTTCATCTAAGTAATTAGTTTTAAAATTAAATCTTACATGTTCTGTTATATTATGTAGTATTTTGATGAATTCAAGTGCGCTACTTACTCGAAAGCAAGATTGGAAGAAATTAAAGAGGAATGGTGTCAATTTATTCTTGAGTTGAGAATTGTATAAAGTTATCGGATTGGAAGAATTGTAATTATATGTAAATTGATTGTATTTGTGATGTTGTAATTCTGAGAATTGGATATGCAGCGCGCTGCTAAAGGGGGAGGGTTGGGGGAATATGCAGCGCGCTGCTAAAGGCCAAAAAAAACGCTGCTAAACGTTTTTTTTGGCATAGTGTCTGAAACCCTTCTCTAATTCAACCACTCAATTTAAATTCAATGATTTATATCCTCTTTTATTTCTCAATCATTTTGTATTACAAACCTAAGACACTTCACCATAAAAAAAGGTTCTAAAACATGTATGTTTTATAAAATGGTGAAGTATCTGCATAGGTACTTTACTTTTATTATGTGTTTCAAATAAAATTAGTGGCTCTTGCATATATAAAATAATATATACTATGTATTTTAGTTTTGATATTATTACGAAATAACATAATTTTTTTATTTCTTGAACTTTTACTATCATATTTTGTTTTGAATTGAACAATTTAGTTAGTTATCGAGTGATATATTTTATTAAAAAACTCTTCCGTTTATTTGTTGTACTCATACCTTGTATCTCGTATGCGTAGCACCCGTACATACTCACATATGCATCATAGCTAGGGGGAAAAATCATTCTTTTTTGTTAAAATTTTCTAAATATTATTTTCAATTTTATAATGAAAAATCTAATATAAATATTATAACGTGTGAAATGAACGAGTGTGACCTAGCTGCACAAAGAACTGTTGAACTACTGAAGTAACTGTTGAAGGCAAAAAGAAGCATGTAAAACATAAAACGAAGCATAGTGGCATAGATATTTCAAGTGGAATGCAATGAAATTCAAACAAAGAAATATAAGCTATTTATCCATTAAATCTGAAGAGGAAATTTACTATATATTCCACCATCTGGAACAAAGTTTTCTTTGTAGAATAATATCTGGCCATGAGATTTTGCTGTAACAGCAATCTCATCCATAGTCCCAGAACTTATATCAAACCAAGCTAGTTTGTTGTCTTCCTTTCTGATCAATACATTTCCTTTCTTCCCAATTCCAATTGGCATCTGAAGGCAAGGTAAAGGCCCAACAATAAAGAGTTCCGTCCATGATTCTCTTACACCGAGTTCACCCAAAATTGAAATATGAAATATTTTTGCCTCTTCATAATTTACTATAAAAGCAATAGATCCATTCAATATTGTCAGTATTCTCGTTCTAGTCGAACTAAAATCAAAAGCATCATCTGCGTAAGAGGGCATGGGTGTTGTGATGAAAGATTCTTTGCTGAAGTCGAATGACTCCAAATTTATATGTGTTTTCGTTTTTCCCCACCAATGAGACACTCCATCCAGGTACACTTCATCACCGCATATAGAAGAGTGAGGAAAATCATCGATTTTCCTCCAAGAGTTATTGTTTAGGCTATATATCTCCCAGAAGTAGGAAATCTCTGGCATACTTCCAGGAGGACCATGAGTGCACCGGATCATCTTATACTCATCTTTAACATGATCATAACCAACTTGATAATGATCAGACCAAAACTGTGAAAAATGATTATATTCAGCGGAAATGATCCTGAATTCCGCGGTAGTCGGTTTCCACAACGTAAATTTTGGATTGCCACCCTTATTATAATATTGGAGATAAAGAGTGCCATTAAAACTAATGGGAGAGAAAATGTCAAAAGAATAGTTGTCTCTTCTCCTGTATCTCAGAGAAAGCTTTTGCAAATCTAATTTGGTTATATTCTCGTATCTCTCCTCGGAAAGAGAGTACACCGTATCATCTTCTTTCAGATGCAGGAGAAAAGATATATCATCATAAAAAGAATGATCCGTGGATATGAAATAGTTGCGATACATAGTCATGAAATTAGGGTTATCAAACAAGAGAGACCATGGTTTGCATACAGATTCAAATCGCTTCAAAGATTTGAGAGACAGTTTAGAGAGAATAGAGAAGACAATATCATCGGGTATATGGTTGCTAACCTCAACATTTGAAGCAGACAAGAATGGATCCATCTCCAACGACGAGTTAGGGTTGAGTCGGTGAAATAGCACGGTGGCAAAGGAACAAGAAAAAAGCGCTGCACACTGCAAGGAAGGTTTCTAGTCAAAATTGTTAGATTTTTGAACTTGATACACACTGATATATATAAAGAAGAAGAAAAAAAATTATGGATAGATATAGGGCCCATTTGTTTTGATTTTTTTTTTATGATTTATATAGTGTAATATATTTTGATGTAAAAAAGTTTTATTAAGAAATTTTTTTATTAAAATTTGGTTTAAATAGTAATTTTAGGTATTTTATTAAAAAAAATTTAGATGTCAAAATTTTAAAAAATCACTTAATTTTGAATCTATTTCAAATAGTTTTTTTATAAAATTATTTTTAAGATACAATTTAAAGAAAAAATTGTAATTTTATCTATGTTTTAATTTGTAATAATGTATATTTATATTGTATTATGTGAAATTTTTTATTTATTTAAATAAAACAAATTAAAAACAGATGTAGAAAACAAAGTGTAAATGATTTGTCCAGACAACAATGAATGCAAAAAATAAATGACATTAATGCTTTTTATTTTTTATTATTAAATAGTAACTAATAAATGTTAATTAATTTGATTAATTCTATTGTCATTAAATTTTTATTATTTACAATTTAAATTTATGGATCCTACATTGATGTTTTGTATATGTTGATTTTATTTCAAGAAATTTCAATTCATATTGAAATCTTAATTTTAAAATTTACTTTATTTGAATTTGATTCTTTTTTAAAAAAAAATTAATTGTTTGATTTTGAAAAAAAAAAGTGTATATTATTTTTTGTTAATGTTGTTTTAACTGAAATTAAATGATATGAAATTAACGAGATTATGAAATTAGATGCTTCATATGGAAAAGAGACTTAAAAAAAACACAAAATAAATAAATTTTAATACGGTTTTGTAACTATTTAAGTATATTGTGTTTTTTATAATATAAAATTATTTATGTACCTTACTTTTCAAAATATTTTATAATAATTTTTCCTCTCTTCACTTGATGAATTGGGTGAGCAAGTATCTTTACAATTTTTATTATTTATGGTTAATATAATTTTTTTAATTATTAAAAATATTAAATTACTCAATTAATTTCAATCAATTTTATTAAATAGTTATTTTTAATATACATATATTGCTTAATAACATTATCTTATAAAATTAAACATGAACCTGGTTTTTTAAATATAACACCTACAAATTTTAAAAAATATATTGATACTATAAATATTTTATTACCAATTTTAGTATCTATTTATAAAAATAAAAGTTCACATTTCATGTTGTAAGCCGTTTTTTTATGAAATATTAATGATACAAAATTTAAATATCATTAATTAAATAATTGAAATATTTAAGAATTAAGTTTAACTAATTTATCTAATATTCCAAATCAAAGATTAAATTTTTAATCTATTTTGTAAGTTTAAGTCGTTCAGTATTTGTTTATTTGATGTTTTTTTTATAAATATAATAGGTTAATTAAAATGACAAATAATAAAACATATTAAAATATATATTAACAGTGTTAAATTGTAAATTTATAATAAGATAGTAGTATAAAACTATGATTGCAAGAACGATTACATTTATGATTCTCTTTTTGTTACATATTTTTATTTATTGTAGTTTAAATTAATTTACCATCTCATTTATATGATTATTAATAAATAAATTATGGTTGATAATTTTTATTTATGGTAACTTTTCTGATACATTTTAGTTATTATAATTTATTTAATTAATTAATTAGTTAAATTTTTATTTATATTAAATTTTTGCTTACATTTAATTTATTTATTATAATTAGATTAATCAATTTATTATCTCAATTATATGTTCTTAAATGAATAAATAAATTTATTATAATTATAACTAGAGATGGCATAACGAATTGTGACCCGTCAAACCGGCCTGCATACCCTTTAGAAAATGTCGGTTTGGGTTGAAATTTTGTACCCGCCTAAGCCTCCCCTCTTTAAACCTGCTAAAAAAAGGAGTGGGTTGACCCGACACCCCGCAAATATAGTTATCAAGCACTAAAGTAATTTTTTTTGTTGCTTAAAAGTTAATACTTGAACTATATTTTGGAATATTTGCGGATGATCCTATCTTATATATTTATTTGTGAATATATGTCATATTTTTTAAAGTAAAATTTATTAAAAAGATTATTTATAAAAAGATATTATAAAAAGATATTATAAAAAACAAGTGAAAAATCTAATTGAAATGTAAAAATATGTCTATTGATCAATTAAAATATTTTAAAAAAAAATAAAAAATAAATAAATAAATAGGCGAGCAAGCACACCGTCTACTATCCCGCCACTTTGACGGGACGGGCTAGATTTTTAAGTCCATTTTTACTTGATGAACTTCCCCCGCCCCGCCCCGTTTTGACACCCCTAATTATAACACAACAAAAACATGTCGATAAAAATGTTTTTGTAAAAAACCATTATTTTACCTGGAAAATTTTTTTTAGTATTGTTCCAAATTTTTTTATAAAAAGTAAAATCATAATCGTATTAAATTTGAAATTTATATTACTATTATTTGGTATTGTTCATACTATAGAATCATTACAATGTTGATAAATTTTAGTACTCTTCATAAATTTTATCATTATTTCCTTTAATAATGACTTATATATTTATATTTGAAAAATACAAAAATAAATATATCATGGGACAAAATTTTGTCATTCATAAATATTATAAAATACTAAAATATTTGTTTTCAAAAAATAAATATATAAAAAAAATTATTACAGATAAATAAAAAAATGAAATGTCTATTATTACTATTTAACTATGAGATCCACCAAATTATTTTTTAGTTTAAAGACATCATAAATTTTCAATTAAACTAAATTATAAAATATAAGTAAAAATTTCTGTCGTTGAAAAAAAATAATATTTACTTATGCAAAAAAAATATATTGTTGATTTAAATATTTTTATATAAATTTAAATCTTAAATAATATCAAAACAAAAACAATATTTATTTACGGGAAAAAATAAATTGTTGATTAAATTATTAGATATACGGAAAAAATATTATTGTTATAAACGTTAACAACTTTAATTGTTCTAAATATTAAATAATATAAATTTATCGATCATTTTTTTAAATATGTGAAAAGATTAATATTTTTTTTTATTGTTATAAACATGAACTATTTTATTACATTTTGAAAATAAATGCGCATACTAACTATAGAAAAAATTTTTTTAATCAAATAATAACTTTTTTTTTGAAAACACGAAAATAAAACAATTATAACATAACATAAAGTTATTGATCAAAATATTGAATAATAATAAAAAAAAATCATTTTGATTTTAACATTTTTGTAAATAATGGCAAAACAAAAATAATATTTATATAAAAAATTATATATTGTTGATTCAAATTTTTTTGTATATGAAAATAATTATAGGCAACGATTTATTATCTCTTTAAAAATAATATCTTTTTTTGATTAAACAATTTAATTTTTTTATTTTATTTTTATTACATTTTGGGAAAAATGCGTGTACTGTACCATATCAGTGCGAATGCACCAGTACCCACTAATATATACTTCCTCAGTTCCTTTTTAGGTGTTACTTTTTGATTTTTTTATACATACAAAAAAACTAATCAATATTGTTACCTTTTATACAATAATTTTCTTTTTATCTATAATACCCCTAATTATTTATTACATTTATTTTACTTTTTCTTTATATAATAATTATCTAAGGGTAATTTTGACAAAAATGCATTTAATATTATCTTAAACTTTGCAAGTGACAATTAAAAAGAAACAAAAAATTTTCAAAAAAGTAACACCTAAAAAGGAACAGAGGGAGTATAACGAAAAGAATTTATATAAAGGGTTGCTTTGCATAGCTTGCTTCTCCCCTTTCCTCGTCATGAGCCTTTTGGCTATACCAGGATTGCTCTTGATTATCAAATAATTATCAGAGTACTCCTTACGATCTATAGTGTCATCCAAATCATCATTCTGGTCACCTTGCATGTGAACATCCATATTCTCAGAACCTTGACCCTTGTTATTGCCCTCTTGTGAAGTGGCTTCCAATGTTTCAACATCGTGCGTGACATTGTCTTGATTATCCAAATTATGCACATGACTCTTAGAGTTAGATGGAATGGCTATCCTTGGCACCTCATTTGGCTCAATCAGAACCCTCGTTACCAAGTTGACAATGACGGAGTGGATTTTCCTAGCCTCTTCCTCATTAATTGCCTCATCATGAGTTGAGGAGTGAGAAGCCTGACCTGTTACAAGTTCTTTAGGTCTTCTTGCATGTGAGGTTCGTGGTTCTTCACCATCAATCCTTCTGGGGTTAGCATTCTCAAAGGAGCTATCTCAAGAGCCTCTTTAGGGTTAACAGCAGAATCTGTGCCAGAGCTGGTTGGCATCTTCTTGGAAGGAATATCTGTTGGATGTTGAGACATTTTTGGTGACTTTGATCGTGAGAGAGAGGATTCTCTGTGCTTGTTGAAGGATGAACAGAAGATGAACAGTTTGTGAGGGTACCAAGGATAGAAGGGGTGTATCGTATATATAGTAGAGAGGTACGATTGCCCAATAGGAGGGAACTTACCTTTTTGATTGAACAGTAAATGATCTAATTTCAAAAAGTAATTCCCTTTTATTGTTAATTGCTATAGCTCATCATTTCTGGAGGACCTCAATTTTAGTAGAGACCTTTTAAATTGAGACTCCTTGACACTTCTTGAAGCCATGTCAGCACTATTTCGGCCATAATCACCAGGTTTAGCACAACCCTCTTTCCATTTACACACTTTACCCCTGAGTATGTCTCCCTTGAAATCATCAGAACTTGTTTGGATGGTACTCTTGAAGTCACAGAACAAGGTCATGACATCTGGAGTGACATTGCTTTCTTTATGCAGGGCAGCTTCCATGGACTCCATCAGGTTCC